TACTTCCGTTCTACGCAATATAACGGCGACCACAGCTCTCATTCTTACTCATTTTATTTACGATGTTTCTCTTTAACTTTTCCCTAACCGAGTTATATTATGCTCAATCCGCTTTACATTAACAGTACTGACACGAGTTTAAGCTGGTTGCCTTGTACATCCCCTGCTTTGTTGCCATAGAGATCTGCTGCGGAATCTGAGAAAGGTTTCATTATGTTGTCTTCTTCTCAAGGGAAACTGGTTAGAAACGGCGAGGAGAAGAAATCAGTGGTGAGTTATACACTGCAGCATGTTTTTGGATGAATAGATCCTCTGATCTGAAAGAGAGTCTATTAGTTACACGGCTGAGAAGACAGTGAACATAATATTGTTAAATATGTGTATGGGTTGTTGTTGTTTTGAAATTGCATCCACTTTTGTTCAGATCTGGATAGAGGGAAATATTGCAAGTGGAAAGACAACATGTCTGGAATACTTCAGCAAAACCAGTGACATTGAGGTAGTAATACAGTAAATGTGTAATGAATAACATTTCTCACGGTACCTGAAATTTCACTCAACTACAATTCTTATTCATTTATTTAATAGACAACTGTCTTGTGTTGTAGGTGCTAACAGAGCCTGTGTCTAAATGGAGAAATGTACAAGGATGCAATCCATTGGTAGGGACCAAGTAGCACATAATTATGGATATAATGAGCTTTTTCTTTCTGATCCATCTTGTTGTGCATTTTATTTCATATTTGATTATATAAATGTATTTTATTCTGCCACAGGGATTGATGTACCAGGACCCGTCTAGATGGGGACTCACTCTTCAGACATATGTCCAACTGACAATGCTGGATCGGCATGTCTTACCAATGGCATGTACAAGTCCTACGGAGCCCCTAAAGGGACATGGTGGTGGAAAAAAATCAGTGAGTGAAAAAATGTGGGGTGGGAGGAAAAATATTTTTCAGATTTTTTTGTTCACTCGCAAAAAGTTAGCATTCTCTGGCAAAACCAGTAGAGTTCTGACAAATACTTCCTGTTTACTTTACAGATTGTAGTGATTCATACTAGGGCTGCACGATAAATATCGCACGATATTTAATGCGCATCTTGTCGGTAAAGCCGGTTCTGTAATCAGCGGTAAATCTCTACACGTGCGTGCTTTCACGTGGAGAAGCATTTACTACACAGAGCCGTTGTTCACGGACAAGCTGCACAAAACATGCACAAAATATGATCGTGGTTTTGTGCAGCTTGTCACGGAGATTTACCGCTGATTACAGAACCGGCTTTACTGACGAGATGCACATTAAATATCGTGCGATATTTATCGTGCAGCCCTAATTCATACAGCTCCATATGTTCACAATGGAGCGGTTCATAGAGTTTTATTTTGAACTTGGACAAAATAGTCAGTGCATGCTTATCAAGGCACGGTTTTGGGACATTAAAGGGGTCACATGATGCGATTTCAAGTTTTCCTTTCTCTTTGGAGTGTTACAAGCTGTTCGTGAATAGATAAGATCCCTAAAGTTGCAAAGACTAAAGTCTCAAACCCAAAGAGATATTCTTTATAAAAGTTAAGACTTGTCCACGCCCTCCTAAAACGCCTCGTTTAAACATGCCCCCACATGTCTACATCACTGTGTGGGAAGATTTGCATAACACCGCCCAAATGTTCACCCAAAGAAAGAAGGTGTAACTTTGATTCTTGCTGTAGTATTGTTGCTGCCGCCGCTGCCATGTCGTATTTCCTCTATGCCCCACGTTCAGAAAGGTGGGGCATAGAGGAGTGTGTTTCGTTGTGAAAGCGAAACTACTTTGTTTGGCCTTCCAAAAGAGTACACAACTAGAAATCAGTGGTTAAGTTGTATTTACAACACTGTTCCAGAACAGTTCAGATGTGAGCAACGCATTTTATGGAGGACAAGGACTGTTTCCTGGGAGAGTAGCCAACAATGCCGGTGTTCCGGTGAATTCCGTTCCCCTGTTTTCCTTTATTTGTGCTAACAATAGCAACCCATTAGATCGAGTTAAATGCCAAGGACAGCAAAATATTCCACTGAGAAATTGGATTGTGGAGTGAGTCTTCGTATTCAAGCCAGTCGTAAGCTGAAGGCCAGAAACATCTTTATCAGCTGCACATACACACGCTTACTCACAGTCTACAATATTGACAAAGCAGAGAGATTACAATTACACCAAATACACAAAATAATGTTATTTTTTAGCAACATCATATGACCCCTTAACTTAATTAATGGACTAAGACAGTGGCATAAAAAGGCCAAATTCGGTATACAAGTTTATTAATAGATTATACATGAAAGCAGGTAAGCCCAGAATAACAGAAGCGTTTTCTTTCCATAAAGAAAACGCGGCTTAATGAAGACGGAGACATAAAAGACCAAATATGCTATAGAAATGATTCAAAATATATTCTGTAAACATGCAAGCAGATGAGCCCATATGAGCTGAATTGCATGATAAGCGTTTTCTTCCCCATAGAAAACCGCGCTTAACGTGGCTTAATATAAGAAGACAGTGATATAAAAAGCTACAGGCAATCAACGCTGTAATCCATTAAGCCAGTGGTTCTCAAACCTTTTACAGTGGTGTACCCCCTAGGGCATTTAGCCTAACATTCTTCTGAGTTAGACCGCAGTCACACCTTTTCCATTAAGGGACAATATTTTCCCCCTTAAATTGATTTACAGGTGCATTTTTACTGTTATAGAGGCAAAGTTTTTCTAGCCTTATTAATTGTATGTCATGTTTTATGTCATATTCTTGACATTCCATTAAAGGCACAATATGTAAGATTTTTTTATTAAAATATCCAAAAACCACTAGAACAGTGTTATATATTTTGCTGACTTGTGTACTTACATTATCCCAAATGTTTCGAAGAATGTTTAAATCCAGAGAAATAAGTAATTGTAACTAGTGACACGGAGCGTGTCCATAGTGTCATTGTGTTGCCTGCCAGTGACGTCATAACCCCCGATTTCCGGGGAAACACCAAATACGCTTTAATATGTTGTGCGTTTTAATAGACCGGTGACGACCACACAGAGTAGCATTATAACAGAACTTTCAAATGGATCTAGTATGATAAAACAGCGCTGCTTTTTTCCCCCCCACATATGCACGACCGGAAGGAGCGGAAGCGGTCGACTGTGGCATAATAAAAGCTCCGCTGCTTTCAAGCCGTGTGTCACGCTCGTTCAGCGGCCTCGTTTCGCTTCGACGGCTTTCAGCCTCACCCTGCTTCATTCTACTACGTTAATAAATCATTAGCTCATCCATGAACATGATTTCTGCCCGAGTCCCGTGGGATTGCATCGGCTGTGGGGATGAAGACCACAACTCCCATGATTCCACACTCAGTCACAGTCATAAAACTAGCCTTTGTCTATTTGTTTATTTTGAATACGTGCCCTCTAGTGGCGAAAATTACATATTGTGCCTTTAAGTGTATTATTAAAGATAAATAAAGCAATAAATGATGGCAAAACTAAGTGATACTTGTAGATTCAAAACTAAAATCGCCAGTATGTGGCGGCAAGTCACTGTCTAATGAGCAAGGTGAAGCATTCATTCATTCAGTAACGAAGCAAATGGTTGTAGTTATGAAAGGGTTATTAATCAGTACTGACTCTCCGAATCATTCAAAGTTGCTTGGAGACGCACACCAGTTCTGTTGCGGATTTCGTTGGAACTATTATTTCGTTGTAAAATATAACAAACAATATTGACACTATTGCGTTTAAACTGTAGGCTACATTTAAAATGTAAAATGTACACTTAATATTGCCTTTTTTGTTGAACTGTTATATAAAATCAATGTCACATTTGCAGTCTTTTGGATATTCAGGAAAAATTGCATTATAGGTTTCAGAGCGAAATACAGTAAGAACGTAACAGTGTTTGCTTTATAAAATGTATCTAATAATCTTTTATATTATTGAAACTTCAAACTCGAATTATGCCTTACTGTAAGTGACGGAGTAGCTATTTTATGTTTCAGCGATTTGATCGTGCCAGGTGTCCTGACATTTTATCCTACCCATCAGATTGTCCTACCAGGGTTTACTGCGCATGCGCACATCAATATTGCGTCCTTTTTCTCATGCTGAACAACAATATTTAATGTAGGCCTATCTACATTACTGTAAGGGTAGGTGTAGACTTTAATAAAACACAATCTAATAGGTAGAACATTTATTTATTGTTGGTTTCCTGTAGCTGTATCCATTCCAGCTAGAACCGCAAATATAACACATAATTACTGTAAGGGTAGGTTTAGGGTTGTGGTAGGTGTAGACATTAATAAACAATAATTTTACAGGTAGCATTTTTCGTTGTCGAATTGTACTACCCACTGTTTTAATGGGTGGTAGCAAAATCTGACAGGGTAGCACAAATCGACAGAACACCGGCATCTCATGCGCACATTTATTGCATTCAGCGCGGCCTGTTCATTATTAAAATAAAACATAGAATCATAAATACTGATAAAATGTTACACAGTCAATTTAAATAATCTGTATTATAGTCCACTCCAGTGCGGCAAATTTTTGTTCATTAGGATGTTTTTCCTGTCGATATTAGAACGTACAAAGTCCAGTTAATTGAATAAATAATGGTTTAGCTTAAAATACATTGCGAATATGGAAACATTTGGATTTGTGCTGAATGAGAGTGGTACGTGAGCCCATACTTTTAGTTTTGCTTTAAATTAGGTTTTGGCTTGTTTATAGCTATTCTGGGCTTGTCTGCTTTCCTGTGCATAATAGGCTATATTTTATTAATAAACTGTGTACCATATTTTGGTTTTATACCGTCTTCGTCCATTAGCCTCCCTTAAGCGTTTTCTATAGCCTAACCGTTTTCTGTGGGGGAGAAACGTTGCATTATGGCTATCTGCTTTACTGATAGTAATGCTATTAATAAGGTTATTAATATTACAATTGTTATTAGTATTAATAGTATTTATTAGGCATAATACCGAATTGGGCCTCCATGCCACTGTTATAGTACATTAAGCCACATTAAGTGTTTTAGAATGTCCCAAAACCGTGCCTTAAACTACAAGCAAAGCTAACTGTATTTGAACTCGAATCCAAGTTTAAATAAAACTCTGAACCACTCCATTGTGAACGTAATGAGCTGCATGAACCACTAACAAGCTGTTAGTAAAGTTAACAGGAAGTGTTTGTCCAAACTCAACTGGTTTTGCGAGGGAACGCAAAAAAATTCCTCCCACCCCAAATTTTTTCCACCCACCCCAAATTTTTTTTCCACCACCATGTCCCTTTAGGGGCTACGTACAAGTCTTTCACGTCCCTCTAGTCAGTTTTATCGAGTTGTTTTACATGTATCTGTTTCTGTTCTGCAATACAGAAATTAGCCTTCTGTGTGAACAGAGGAAATGGAATGCGAATCATGACTGCACTAACCTGTTGTTTTTCTTTCTGTCACCACAGTCAACACCAGTCAGAATGATGGAAAGATCTATTTACAGTGCAAAGTACATTTTTGCGGAAAATCTTTATAAAAGGTACATTTTCTTATAAAGCTGAAAGAGCTTTACCTGCCTTCTATTGGACTAAAATGGGTAACACTTTATTTTGGTGTCCTTCTTACACATTATATGTACTTACTATAGCAATAACAGTAAATTATGCATAATTACATGCAGCTAACCCTAAACCCTAACCCTACAGGTTGATAATTAATATTGCTTAGTATTGTTTTATTACACTATATCAAAGACACCATAAAATAAAGTGCAACCACAAAGTGTACTGATCATTAAATGTGTACTAATATTAAATGAGTATTATTTTATTTGGTTGACAGTGGAAAGATGCCCGAGGTGGACTTTGCTGTTTTAAGTGAATGGTTTGAGTGGATCATAAAGAATATAGCTATTCCTGTGGACCTTATTGGTATGGCATTGCAACATTGCATGTTGCTTGTTAGATGTAATGATGCCAAATAAATGTTGTTGTGTATTTATGCATGTTCTCATTGGGTTTTATACAGTTTACCTGCAGACCTCTCCACAGACCTGTTACGAGAGACTAAAGCAGAGGTGCAGAGAGGAAGAGAAGGTTATTCCACTGGTGAGCTGTTAAGTGAACCGCTGTGCATGCAAAACTGAACTGAAATGCAACAAATCTGAAACAACCCAATATAACTAATAATCTGAAATAACTCTGCTGTCAATGGTGGAAGAGTTTTAGCTTAGAGATGACTTCACTTTTCATGTTATCAGAAGGCTGGATTAAAAAAACATTACTAATTTTTGTCATATATTTTGAGAGGTTACACTTTATCTGATGTTTACCCTTTAGGAATACCTAGAATCAATCCATAACCTCTATGAGGACTGGCTCATTCATCACAAGTCGTTTGAGGTTCCTGCTCCAGTTCTGGTGAGTTTCTGCCAATAGTCATTGGTTAAAAAGCCTGCATGATATCTATTGTGACGTATTGTATAATCACCCATGCACTATCTGGGAGTAATTTGTGCTTTCACTTTGGTGGGCAGGTAATCCCAGCAGATCATGATCTTAAGAAGATGCTGCATCAGTATGAGGAGAACAGAGAGAAGATACTTATGGCACATTGCTGAGCAAATGATCAGAGACAACGATGACCATATCAAGCCATAAATATGTCAGCTCAAAAGACAGATGAAGCAAGCACTTTTTTTTTTTTATTCGAAACTGGGTTTACAAACATTCCTCCTGCAGTGAACAGTTGATTTACATAGTAGGATTTGTAAATTAGTGCATATGATTGGTATTTTATTTAAATGCTGACTTTTATGATTATTATTTTGTGTTTGCATTTGCAGTCTTTGTAAACTTGTTTAAGCACTTAACAAGAGACATAGTCTTTTTATTTTTAGTGTTGTTTATGGAATCATTCCATATCTAAAACTACTGCACTTGGAAACATTTCCATTTTTTCTTTGTCTGTAGATATTTTAAATTCAGAATGACAATTCCAGACCGTGCAAATATACTGTATGTGATTTAGCCTTGCATTTTACAGTGAAGTCCTCATTCTAGGGTCTTAAAGATTCTTTTATTTTCATGAGTTGTGCATCCTCCCACTTGCAGACAGTGACTCTATCAAATACAGGAACTGTGGTCAGTTTATGTTACTGAAGGTGTTATTGCGACCAATGTAATTTATACTGCATAAGGCATTGTTTTAAATAAACTGAAGAAAAAAAATGATTTGAAAATAGTGATTTTATTACATTGTAATTTACAGTCACATAATTCTGATGCGCTGCACTGTAGCCTCAGTAGTATGGCACGAAAAGTACTACAATTGTTTGCACCTTATTTCTTTAAATAACAGGTAGTATAATATAGATGCCCCAGGGGCCTCATTTATAAAATGTTGGGTAGAAACCTACATTTGATCTAAGATTATTTCTCAAATGTGCATATGTGTGATTCACAAAAATGAACGTACACGCAAAAAGCATGCGCACACCTCACAGATGTGAATCTATAAATCACAAATGATCTTGAATTTAGTTCTCTGTCTTGTAAATGGCCCCTAATTAATGTCATTAGCATATCAAAGTGCACCAGTCAACTTCCAAGTTCTTTCCTTGAGAATGGTGAGCGACAAGAATTTTTTGATTTCCAAATACCTGTGTTTGTACATCTGCTTAGAACCTGGTGTGGCACTAAGCACTTTTCCATGTCAAAGACCATTTTTTTTATAAATCTTAACGTTGGCATGAATTTTACCTGTAAGATCAAATCTGTGCATATGCACGTTTTATAAATGAAGCCCCAAACACCATTTTGTAACACTTATATAACCCCATTAATCCAAGGTTAGACATCCCAGCAGAACAAAGGGTCCATAAGACAAGCGCACATGTATCTGTCTACATTTCATAAGGAACAGTACCTAGAAAACCAAGCTCTAATAATAATTTTGACCAAAGCATATTCATGAAAATTATAGCAGCAAGACACCTTCCTTCACTTCAAAAAGCTATGATAGAAGTTAAAAAGCCAAAGAGCACAGACATTCTTCCTGTCACCTTCATAAACTCTTAAGATACCAAAGCTAATCCAAAATCAGGGCTTCATTAACAAGAAACTCGCTATCAATGAAAATGCTTTGCACATCATGACTAGCACAAAGACATTTTTGGTGCACTGCCACGCTCTAGAACACTTTCAAATCTCTGCCATGGATAAGGAAGAAACAGGAATACTCTGTCTCTAAATCACCACGTATGTTTGGACTAGGTCGTCTTCTGGTGGCTGAGGTGTGGGACTCTTGCGTCCGTTTGAGCCCTTATTGGCAGTCTGACTGTGGTCAGTCGGTGGTCCAAACACTGGTGTACACACGCTCAGTGCACTATGGATGTAGATTGACTGAGGAGGCTCTCTAATAAGGTTGTCCTGTGCAAGAACGCCATCAGACCCAGCACAGCTACCACAACCTGTGATGTTGCAGACAGGCTCCTGGGATGGGCTGCACAGGATGGGCAGGCTCATGCCATCTGGGGATTTTGTGGGTGGAGCTGTGATGACGTCATTGGGTCCACTGCATGGCTGGGCCTGTGCGGTCTCCTCTATGGGGTATTTAAGAGGTTCATCTGCACTGAGTTCCTTCATGTGCATTTTCCCCATTTGCTCAGTGAGCTCAGCCAGGCAGTCTTCTGTCGAGCCTTCACGGCTGCGTCCTTGCAGCAGCTTCCCAACCTGAAGAACCAATGGTTTGTCATCTGAGGGCTGGGCTTCTACAAGTGCATTTGCGATGTGTAGTTTTCTTTGGCCTGTCATGGTCTCAGTGTGTATGGCTATAGACTGGGGGCCACTCATGTCAGCACTGGCCTCGTGGAACAGGCCCGCATTGTGGCCCCTGGATCCAGCCCACTCCTGGGCCTTGAGAGGCTGCATAGATCTTTGAGACTTTCGGAAAATGGGCTTTTGTCGGATGGCCAGGTCTGGGTAGTTCTCCCGCATCTCTAAGATAGACTTGTCGTCAGTCATAAATGAGCTGGACGGTCTTTCGACATCAGAGATAGAAGCATCTTGAGACTTGTCGACTTCCTGATCAAGAGAGTTATGACTTTTAAGTGACTCCTGCCGCTCCTCTTCCTCTGGGTTTACCAGAGAGCCACCTTCAACATGCCCATCATCCTTAAAAACATCCTCGTTTAGATTACAGGTGTCATTGATAGGTTCGGAAACTACTTCTCCAGCACTGAAGGTCAGAGGAGCAGCTCTCATTCGGATGATCTCCAGACAATCCACATGTGATCTCTGGTTCATGAGCTCCAGAACATACTCACACTCTAACCTGGCAAGGAAAAGGTCAAATCCCATACTCTTGGCCTTGTCAGGATCAGAACTGTCTGACAGTCTATACTCAGTGTCTGTTTCCATGCAGTATCCAATAATCTGAAGAATACTTCTGGCAAAAGGCAATACTGGCTTGATGTAATAGACAAAGTGTCCTGTAAATGTCTGAGAGAACAGGAGGAAAAAACAGTCCTGATTAATTGTATATTATATTAAACTGTATAGTATTTTAGAATGTGTCAGGTTTCTTTTTTCACTTCTAAAATAATTAAACCATGTGCCCTAATGTGGTACTATATTGCAACCAGTTATTACAGCCTTCACACTCTGCTGAGCTTAACAATGTTTACATCACTCAAAGAATCTTATCAAAGTTATATATATATATTTTTTTTTCTCTTCATACTTCCGTGTTAAATATGGTTTTGTGGGTAAAAGTGCTTGCGGTCTCAGACCTCAAACAGAACTTAGGAATTAAAGGAAGTCTGCAAGAGCAGCCTTGCTAAATGAAATCTTAAAGCAGCCTAAAATGGTATGCTTTGTTTAACTGATCTTAGTTTGCCTTTCAGCCTGGCTAAGATGTCTTTAGATGAACTAGCTGATGTCAAATCTGGTCTAAACAATTGATAATTAGCCTACTCAAAATCCTTCTAAAACCAGAAAACAGATCAGACTAAACAGCTTACACTGTTTTTAGCATAATCAGCTCATCAAAAATCATTATGTATTAACTTGATACCCTGTTAAAAATGATTTTGTGGTCATTAAAAAGTGCTCAGGGTCTCTTAAACCTCACAGAGAACATGAGAATTAAAGGAAACCAGTGACATCACCACTACTTATAATAATAATAATAATGAATTAGGCCAGCCTAAACTAGTTTGCTGGTTTTATATGGCCTTCCAGTGTCTTTTTGATGGTCTAGCTGATCTCACAGCTGGTCTGACCAAATGAAAAGTTCCCCAAACCCCTTCTAAAACCATAAAACAGACCGGTCTGACCGAAACAGGAGACCAGAGACCAGACCGGTTTAACTTCCAATGAATTATCAGCTGGGAGAGCAGAGAGGACAGACCTATTAATAGCGGCTTTTATTTACCTTTAAGGTTTTAATCTCTTTCTTCCACGGAAACAAAAACAGGTTGACACAGAACATCTCCAGTAACTCGGCAGCTTTTTTAAAGTCGTGGACTCGTCTCTGGCAGTCTCTGTACTGTGCGCACTTATAGAGAGTCTCATAGAAGTCCAGCTCGCCGAGTCTCTTCCGCGGCTCTTCCTCAGCTAACAGCTCGCGCCTGGCTTCATCTGTCACCTGTGTCTCTGAGCACACTGTCAGATTGCCTTCGCAACTAACTTTGTCGTAGTACTCTAAATACTGAACGAAAACGTCTTTTCGCGAAACAGGCGTTTGATCGTCGACGCTGTTGGTCATGGTTGTGACAGAAAGTGATCAAGTTGATCAACTCCCATCTGAGGAAGCGAAAGTAGACATGTATGCAAATGAGGAGTGATGATGATGATGATGAATATGCAGGTATCGCAAACGACGCAAATACGGAAGAACCTCAAATATACACGTGTTCTTATAAACATCGGGATTATGTTAATAAAAGGCTTACATTTCCATAAATGTCCACGACTGATAAGCGAAACGGTCCTGCAGGCATCAGCGACGTAATGTCGATCTCATTATCATTCATCTCAGCCTCAAGAGGCGCCTGAAATACCTAAATATTGTACATTTATAAGTACGCTTTAATTATACCAGTGACATTTGTCCATAATTTGTCCGAGAACGGTTGCTGGTATAGGTACCTATACATGTCACCATTGTTATTCTTCCTCCGAATGAAGGATACTGACATCTAGCGCTGAAAGTAAGTATGTTAATTATCATGACTGTCCAGAAGATGGCGGTGTAATCACAAAAATGATGCTTACGTACGTCAAACACGTTTTTGAGAGAAGACAGAAAGGGAAATACCTGATCTATGAATTGCGGATCCCTGGGGGAAATCCAGCTTCTAAACTAGAAAATGTTGTGGAATATTTTGAGTATTCTTGTGTAAATACGTGGCATATGAAATGGTAAATATATTCGGTTCAATAATATCAAAATACCTTAGTATTACCATCTGATAACGGCTCTTACCCTGTATATTTATTTTATTTTATTTGATTTGATTATTTATTTTTTTACAAGATCAGCGTGTAATAAAGGATATGAGTTATGGGATTCAATGAGCTAGAGATTCTGCTGTCTCCATGATCTCTTACAGTAATAGATGAGGAGAGATTGACTGACAAGGCAAATGCTGTTTACAAGCGGCTCTTCTAAACATTCTATAACTTCTATTCATCAAAGAATCCTAAAAAGTCATGGTTTCAACAAAAATATTAAACAGTACATGTTTTCAGCACTGATAATTATAAGACATGTTTCTTGAGCACCAAATCAGAATATTAGAATGATTTCTGAAGGATCATGTGGACTAAAGACTGGAGCAATTCATCATAGGAATAAATTACAACAATTTAAAATATATTAAAATACAAAACAGTTCTTTTAAATTGTAATAACATTTCACAATATTACAGTTCTTTACTGTATTTTTTGATCAAATAAATGCAGCCTTGGCAATTTTAAAAGACTTCTTTCAAAATAATTTTTGAAACCAGTACACATAACATATGTATAACCTAATGTGTCCTGAATAGGCTACAGAAATATTCAAATTACAGGATCATAAAATGCACAAAATGTAATAAGCACTTATGTCACCAAATAAAAGAATATAGCGGGTTCTAGAGAATAACAGGATCTAGAGAATACATTTTCAGAATCTCACTTATTTGACCTCATCTGACCTGAAAATAGTCAGATGGTAAAATTCACATTAATTACAAGTGTCTCATTCATGTTTAAACTAACCTTAAATGGTTTCAAATGGTTGGACTTGTATTTCTGTACTGTAGTTAGTGTGATAGAGGTGTGTGTATCACCATGTGTGTCAGCTCTGGATGAAATTAGCATTCCTCTGGTATAGTTTAATAGAAGTGGAGCTCTGGGATAATTTTCTGTACTGTAGTTAGTGTGATAGAGGTGTGTGTATCACCATGTGTGTCAGCTCTGGATGAAATGAGCATTCCTCTGGTATAGTTTAATAGAAGTGGAGCTCTGGGATAAGAGGCTAATTAAGGGCAGAGCTATGGCACAGGCCATCTGTTCAGGATGCTTTCTTTGAGCCCACCATGCAAACAGGCAGGAGAGAGATGAATATCCATATCAGTGTTAGCGAGAGGCTCGTAATACATTATGAATGACAGGAGTCAATGAGCGAAATGGTTCAGGAAATATTCTGTCCATCTGGAAAGCCTTTAGTGTACAATCAACATCTGTTACTAAACAGCACAGCAATCTCTGAAACTTGCCAGCAGTAACTGTGCACAACAAAATCCTACATTGATGTTTTACTGAATTCGCTATCAGTCTGTTTTTCGAAACGTATTATTTCAAAATTCTCCCAGAAAGGATTAAAAGATGGACATCTTGATAGATAGAAGTCTTGTGTTTTTCTATTTATTCAGAGGATACAGTGGTAAAGGAATAAAGACTCTAATACAAAACATACATCAATATCTGCAGCTCTATGAAACAGCATTATCACTTTGGACAACCGACCACAACATAGTGACAGAGAGTTCAGACACATGTGCGATGTATTCATTAAATGTCAGTCAACATTTACAACGGGCTTCGATGCTAAGGTGCTATCCTGGTGCAAGAAACATATCCATGTGGTCCAATGAAACTGCTGAAATAGTTTAGCACACAAATGTAAGTCAGTTAAAAGTGATTTTCCTGAACATCAGCTCACTAGTTGCAGCTAAAATGCACAAAGCCCTAAAATTGACAGAAAATAAATGCTATGTGACCAATGGGAAATAGATCTTCATTGAGTATTTGGCAATATTCCTTTAAATCTGTACTGTATGTTTATTTTATCTTTATGCACACTGAGTTGCTACAGCCTTGCTAACACATGTGAATTACAGGAATAGTTTATCCCAAAATGAAAAACTATACTGAAAATATTCTCAAATACACCTACATATTGGATGGCCTGAGGGTGTTACTTTCTCAGAACAGATTTGAAGAGATTCAGCATTCAGACAAATTCAGCATCAACACGACTCCAGTTGATCAACCTTGTGAAGCAAAAAGCTGCATGTTTGTAATAAACAAATCCATCTTTAACACATTTTTTAAGCTTCAAATTCTTACTTCTGACTAAAATATGAGTCCTCCATCTATAATATTGCTTTCAGTGAAAAAAAGTAGTCTTGTCCGCACCGTTTGCAAACGGAAACAAACCAAAACAGTTCTAAACAAATATGTCAGTGGATTTTGATGTGAAAGGACACCAGGGATGGACCTTTTCAGCGTTATTATGGATTCTAAATTATTTTGGGCAGATGCGACAGCTTAAAGATAAAATGCCTTAATGATGAATTTGTTTCTTACAAATATGCGCCTTTTCACGTCACAATATTGTTAATTTATGGACTGGAGTCATGTTGATTACTTCTGGATAATTGTGATGTTTTAATCAGCTGTTTGGACTCTCATTCTGATGGCACCCATTCATTGGTAAGCAAGTGATGTAATGCTAAATTTCTCCACATCTGTTCCGATGAAGAAACAAACTCTATCTACATCTTATATGGCATACGGGTACATTCTCTGCAAATTTTCATATTTGGGTGAACTATTCCATTAGACTCAAGGGTTTACAGACACAGTATTATTACTATTACAGTGTGGTGGCAACAGCTAATACACCTCTACTCATTACATCGTTGAACATCTGGACCATTTCTTCATCTAAGGTGTAGACCGATACAGCTCGCAGAACGAGACAGGCTCGACATCTACAAAATTACCTTGAAATGCTACTTCAGATGTGTTGTTACAGGAAAAGTAGCCTTTCTTCATAGGTGATGAGTATAAACTTGTTAACTAAACATTGGTGGAAGTCAAAAGTACTATAATATGAGAGTCCAAAGTTGACATCCATTCAAACTACAATAAATAAATAATAGTGGGCAATTTATTATTCATTTCTGCTTTGAGCTGCTTTTCACTACACAAGAAATGCATTCATGCATTAAATTCAATTTAAAAATCCCTTACAGACCCTCTTTTCTGTACGTATTTACTTTCGTGCTGTGAGGGAAAGTGGCGAGAATAGAGGTGAGGTGTCATGCAGTGTCATTTCTGGGCAGCTTTTAATAAATAAATAAATAAATATATATACATATGTGTGTTTTGGAATGACATTTTCTTCACTCTAGCATGTTAATCTAACAGTCATGGATTAATAGGCACATTGTATATTAGACACATGCATGTGGCGAAGCCATTGTGTTACAATGAATAAAGTGGGCAATGTTAGAACAAAAACAAACCAATCTAATACATAAATGTTTTGGAAGCACAGAATGTGTCCAGCAAGAACTATCTTGTGTTTCATTTCATATTGACGTCAATGCTACGACGGCTTTGCAGTTGAGCTACTTGGTTACCAGTCTCAGCTCTTATGTTCTAATGTACACAGCATCAATGCAGTTTAGGAGAACAATATTGTTTAACACCCTTTGGCAAAGTGTTCCCTAAAGCCCTTTCTAACTATAGTTTGTATTGTCATATGCATTGATATCATAATCTCCTAATAACATCTGCAGATGCATTCGAGACTTTAGGAAAACAGTAGTCTCTGCAAACGGAAGGAAATATAAATAAACCACAGTGATCTATGAAATAGATGTAAAACAGTGGTTCTCAACCTTTTTGACTCCAAGGCTCTCCTTTGTCCAAGACAATATTTACAAGATGTTAACTGATGGGCTGGAGTCACATTGATTACTTGTGGATTATTGTGATGTTTTTATCAGCTGTTTGGACTCTCATTCTGGCGGCACCCATTCACTGCAGAGGATCCATTGGTGAGCAAGTGGTGTAATGCTAAATTTCTCCAAATCTGTTCAGATAAAGAAACAAACTAATCTACATTTTGGATGTTCTGAGGGTTTGTAATTTTTAAGCATATTTTAATTTTTGAGTGAACTATTCCTTTAAGATTTTGTTAATATAATTAAATTTAAATCATATTAACTTATCAGGAAGCTTGGTTTAGGCCCCTAGTGGGGCCCTCTGGTTGAGAACCACTGATGTAAAGAATAAAAGAAACGAAATGATGTGTAAATAAGTATGGATTAAAAGCATATTGATTTTCTAATGACTTTCAAATTTCTATTAAAGGTAATAATTTATCATCTTTGCTAGTTATTCTAGTTATTAAATTTACAAAATATCATCTTTAAAAAAACGTTCAGTATACAAAACGTAAATATAGTAGCCAACATTTGAAGTGGATCAAAAAAGTTCATCAAAGTTGTCCTAAGACAAGAACGTATTTTGGTTTTAGGTTTTAAGACTTTCAACTTTGACTAAAGGTTTTGATCCATTTCAAATGTTGACTAATGTAGTTAAAACCAACCCAACATTTTTGAAAAAAAAAAAAA